TAGGGAAAATAATCTGATCCTCAACACCACCAAGACCAAGGAATTGGTAGTGGACTATAGGCAGAATAAAACGGACATCCAGCCACTGGTTATTAGTGGAGAACAAGTGGAGAGGGTGGCTACTTTTAAGTTTTTGGGAGTGACTATCGAGCAAAATTTGACCTGGAGCGCTAACACCATTGCTCTGGTGAAGAAGGCCCAGCAGAGGCTCTTTTTTCTCAGACTTTTAAAGAAAAATAACTTGTGTGAGGAAACACTGATGTCCTTCTATCGCTGCTCAATAGAGAGCATTTTAACATATTGTGTTTGTGCCTGGTTTGCCAGTTGTATGGCTGTGGAGAGGAAAGCACTCCAGAGAGTTGTTATTACAGCCCAGAAGATCATTGGCTGCCCTCTCTCATTCCTGGAGGAATTGTATAGTTCTCGATGTTTTAAAAAAGCAAAGAACATTTTGCAGGACTTGTCACATCCTGAACATTCCCGGTTTGAACTGCTGCCTTCGGGCAGAAGATATAGGACAATTAAAGCAAGGACAAATAGATTAAAAAATAGTTTTTATTCAAGAACTATTATTGCCTTAAATGCTGTATGAAATTGGAATTGGGTGACATTGGTGGTTTTAAGTTGTTATGGGACAGTTGCGAATGGTGTGTTGTAAATATTGTTGTAAATCACCGAAATGATTGCATCTTTAATTTCGTTGTACTATGTACAATGACAATAAAGTATATTATTATTATTATTATTATTATTATTAGTATTAGTATTAGTATTAGTATTATTGAGCTTTTTGGATCACACTTCCATCTTAGATCCCTTCCAGTCCGGTTTTCACCTCAGCCATGGGACGGAGACAGCACTGGTCACCCTCATGGATGACCTCCAGAGGCACTCTGGATTGGAGTGGACTGACAGTAGTGTTACTGTTGGACCTGTCAGCAGCATTCAGCCCGGTTGACCATCAGTTACTGATCCACCACCTTGCCAACATGGGAGTTCAGGGGTCTGCCTTACAAGGGCTTGCCTCCTTTCTCCAAGGTCGGGGACAAAGGGTGGCACTAGGGGAACAGCTGTCCCGAAGGCACCCACTGAACTGACTCTAAACCAGAAGATCTGGACTGGGCACTACAAGCCATGACTGGGTGGCTTAGACTAAGCCGACTGAAATTGAATCCAACAAAGATGGAGGTCCTGTGCCTGAGTCGGGGCGGTCCGAGGGTAGGGATCCCACTCTCAACCTTCGATGGGGTGCCATTGGTGCCAGCACCAGAGATTAGGAGTTTGGGAGTGCTCCTGGATGCCTCCCTAAAAATGGAGGCCCAGGTAGCAGCCAACACCAAGTCAGCCTTTTACCATCTTTGGCTGATTAGGCAGTTGGTTCCCTTCCTCAACCACAATGACTTGGCAACAGTGATCCATACAATGGTCACCTCGAGACTGGACTACTGTAATGCTCTCTACATGAAGCTGCCCTTGTCACAAATCCAGAAGCTGCAGCTAGTGCAAAATGCAGTGGCCAGGCTCCTGATGGGTCTCCCTATGCAGGAGCACATCCAGCCTTTGCTAAAGGCATTACACTGGCTGCCGATAGCATTCCGAGTTTGCTTCAAGGTGCTGGTTCTTACCTTTAAAGCCCTTTATGGTCAGGGGCCGACATACCTGAGGGACCACCACCACCAACAACAACAACATCACTAAAGAAAGACAGAGCCCTGTGCTTGACTCCACCATTACAGCCTGTGCCAGCCACATATCTCTCCTTATATATAATTGAATAGTGGGTGCCAAAGTTCTAATTCTAAAATGCACTCCCTTAGTGTATGGCTGATGGCACTGCTCCTCAGCATATATCGCCACCAATCAGAAGACAAAGCCCGGGTCCCGCCCACACCACAACTGCTGCGACAACCTGGTCTTTTGCATATGGAAGCTGATTGGACTTCACTCCATTCCACACCTCAAACTCCCCCCCCCCCTCGGAAGGCAGTTGGAATGTCAGTTGCATATGGAATCTGCTGTATTCTGGTGGTGTGCAGGTCCCAGATTCATGTTTTAAAAGCAGACTGACACTGTTTGCCCAAAGCCAGAGCACTCTCCCAGAGCCTCTTTCTAGATCTCGTTGTATTTATTTCCACAACGGGCCTTATTTCTAGTATATGATAAAGATCAAGAAGCTGGTGAACAAAGCAGG